AGTATAAGAAAGTAGTCAAATGTAGCTCAAATACTTCTTAGATTTTTATCAATAATGTAACACTATGACAAAGACCATTCTTCAATACTTGCTATCTTTGCCATCTTTAATACAAGACTTTTACATGTAATGGAGTTTTGTTTTTCCATTGTGGTATTGCTACTTTTACTACCTATTTTTGATTATTATGAGATATGATTATATATTTGTGGAATATCTACTGTTGTAATGACTTGCATGTTAACAGTAAATAAAAACAATGTTGGCTGAAATCTAGTAGTCTATTGTGATCTTTCCCCAGAAACACATTGGTGGAGTCACAACAACATAAAAAATAGCTTAGACATATCTCAGTTTCTGTGTAGCAAAGACATTTTCAATGAATATGTATTTTTCACAGTGTATATAGGTATAGCCTACGTATATACACCGCTTCATCAATTAAACCACTCAAACTATGGAACATTAAAAACATATTTCAAATGCCTTTTAGAGGATTGAAAGTATGGAGTATGAAAAATTTGTATGTTAATTTGTTTGCGGAGTCCTCTGAGTATTGCCGTATATGAAGATTGCGTCTACAAATTAAGAGAATGTGTTTCATGTATTTTATACCACATAACCATTACTTAACATTAACTTAACATTTGTCACCTATTTGAGACAATATGCCAGCCATCTCTTGCACTAGTGGGAAAACAGTTACATTCTGCAGTAACCACAATCACAATTTTTATGTAGATGAAGATTAATAACCACAAGATGAACTTGCACACAGAAAGAACTGAAGGAGGAATCTCTTGAGTCCAACACCCACTTACTCATATCTGTTGCCAAATGAAGAATAACGTAAGAGCTTTGTTTGCATTTTAAGTCAATTTCTTTTTTACATCTGAGAGATCCATAACAACCTCTCCACAGAACAGTCTGTGCAGACTTTTCTTTATCATCTACGATGGTGCCTTCAGGATCTGGGCTCATGCACTGCGGGAGTTTACAGGACAATATCTCATGACCAGTACCATACAGGCTCATGTGTAACAAGATATATATACAATATATTATGTATCAAACACTGAATGGGAGTTATGAGTTAAATAGGAGCAGTGTGCTTGAGGGCTTCAGTGTAAAGCCAAAAAATATTGTCAAGTCATTCTTTGAGGATTGGGATACATTTTTTGTTAACCTTCTTATTACATGCAGGTCTGACCCTAAAATGAATGTATGGTAGTTGGTCCCTTGCATTCTTACCATATCAAAACAGCACATAAACCGAGATTAAATTTATTATAGTCTTCCTTCTCAAAAACGGTGGTGTAACAGTGTGTAACATTTAGGAAGATCTATTGGCAGAAATTGAATATAATATTTTTATTAGTGTACAATCATCTGAATTTAGGGATCATTATGTTTTTCTTACTTTAGAATGAACCTTTTTATATCTACAGACACCGCGGGTCCCCTTCAATGGAGTCTGCCTTGTTGAACCAACATGTTTCTACAGTAGCCCAAAAGACACAAAGATAGTTTGTGTTTTTTATGCGTTTTGCGGCCACTGTTTCTTCTGCATGCTTGGAATAGGAGAGTGAGTTGCAATCTGCAACTACACCACTAGGTGCCACTAAAACCTCACTGACTTACAAACACTGAAAAACCTACAGGATGCCAGAGGGCTACCAAACCTCCGGTCTGAACCTTAGCATGAATACCTTGGATTTCAGAACTTGCTTACTCCTGGACCAAACAAGTCCGTTTTTAAGGTGCAAGCAGAAATATTAGCTGGTTGTTTGCGGCAAAAACCGTAACATATTATCTTGCATATTAGCATATAGGTAGCTGCTGAAGTTTCAAACAAAGACTGACAGCTCACCCGGCTTTATGTATTTCCTGGGAATTGCTCTACATCTCAGGTTCCCAGAGCACTTTGCTTTTCACTTGGTAGAACTGACGTTATGTTTGGTGGACAGGAAATCCATAATGTAAAGTAGCTAACATGAGCCACATAAACTTGTGGTTGCTGAATATTGTTATTGCTGAAACATAGCAATGTAATCTCTACAACAATTTTTTATTCATTAAACAGAAATTGAATACACACAAGGCTTGTTATCTTCAACGTTTACACACACAGCTCAAAAAAATATATATTGGGGAAAACCCCTTGGGTGGTGCACAGAAAAGGTATATTAGTGTATTTCCTGCCACTGCCACTAGATGTTACTAAAGGGACATATTCTATGGTACCTTTGAAGCCATGCGGTGCTAGCTCTCTGGAACTTGAGTTGATCCTGATCCCTTTTTTGTCGTCTGGGATCATTTATCAGCTCTTTTCACTGTAAACTTCATCTTCCTCTCTGCAGAGCAAATCTTCCTGTTTCCTGGTCAGCGGGTCCACCTGTTTCCGATCAGCTGTTTCCTAGCTAATGACCTATCCGGTTTCTCCATTGTTCTCCAGTCAGCTAGCCTTCTTGTTTTCTAGCCAGCTGGTCATCCTGTCATCCAGTTTTTCTATTCCACTGGCTCTTTAGTCTCCTTTTCACTTGCCCATTTCTTTTTAATCTACATTGGTTTTATAGTTCTTTCTCACATACCTAGCAGAAAACCTCCATGTCCATTCTTTGAATATATTAGCTTTTTTTTCTATCCATGACTCGTCACAGTTGCAGCACTCCTAATGAACAAATAATGGTACCAAGGAAGAGCAATTCTCTCAAGCTCCTTAAATTATGAATGCTAAAACTTAAAAACATAACTTCATTATCCATCCAGTACATTATGTCTTCAAATCACAGTAAATACACCAATCCAATTAACTTTATACTTGTTCAGTGAGTCTGTTTGTAGGAATCCTTGTTTAAATTACTGAGTAATGCATTTATACAAGAACATCATAACCTTGCTCCCACTGTATTCATTGATGAGCTGTCGAGGAAGGATTATGGAAGATTGGCTCCAACCCACAATACACCAACATAAAATACCAGATGATTTACAGACTTAAGTGGACAGTATAAGAGGCTCAGTCTCTGATTCTCATAGTGTCAAGCAAATACCATACGTTTGTATGGTATCTGTTCCCCCAGCCCCTGTCGCATTTCTCCAGTAAGTCTGTACACCTGCGTACACCTGATATTACCTTTGGATCCAGTCTACCAAGCAGGGCATGTAATCCATTTCACCATGGGCACTGGAAGTAAGGGTGCTAAGGGGGCTGCAGCACCCCCTAAAATCTGTCATAATGAAAACCTTTAATTCATACAAATTTTAAAATTTATAATCCCTTTTTTCACATGTAATAACATAAAATGGTATTTATGGCAGGAAAGAGGTTTTGTCTTAATTTTTTATCAGTTTTATCCACCAACAAGTTATAAAATTGGGGTAAATTGTTGTTAACGATTACAAAATTAATCTCAAGCATTTAGCATGACATCATTATACATACTCTCTCCCAACTCTGACTTTCAGTGTCCCTGCTTTTCACAAACATTTTTGCTTTTGTACTTACCTTGCGCTAAAGACAGTGTGTAGACTGATGTTTCTTCCAGAGAGATTAAAGAGAGGCAGAGTGGTTAAAAGCTACTGCCAGCTTGTCCTTATGAAAGGAGTAAGACGGCTGTCAGTACAATGTGCCTATGCATGCAAACAAATAGCATGTACCCAGTGCCATCTCTTTTTTAGTCATCTTGGTGACAGTGCTGACTATGGCACTAAAATAAAGTTAAGTTACAGTGCTGGATGTAGAGTGCAACCTAAGTAAACACTTATGTCTTCACTAATGCGTTTGATTTCAAAGCACATCTTTTGCTCTAAGCCTTCCTGCCACACCAAGCTGATATTTTCCTTTTTCAGCTTTTCAAAATGCTCTTCAGAGTGGAACAAAAAAGGCAAGAAGAGCTTTTTGAGTATCCTGGTGTGTGGCTGTCAATCTTCACAGACATGGTTGAGAGTTTACAGTATCAAACAGACACATTCTGTCTCCAACTTTCTGTGAACGCTCATTTGTGCAGTTGTCTGACAACAAAAACACAAACATACGTCACAACAACTGCATTATGTACTTGGCTAAAGAGTACACATCTTGGTTAGCTTTTGTTTAATCCTATGCAGCTTTCTCATAGAGCAGTTCTTCTGGTCAGTCTTCCTGGAGAGCAAAAATTTGAACCAAAGAGCCAACTGCTTGCACACTGGAAATGTTAACAGAACATTAACAAAATAATTGTCAGTTAAAATTATGAGGAATTCTAATTTTACTGTCCAGTAATGTAGTAGATACACCTTCATCTTTGACTTTTACAAGTGTTTAAGAGGATAGCTAGAGGCTATGAAGAAGGGAGGCATACATTCTCTATAATAAAACACAAAATAATCACAGAGTTGGAGGTGACAAAGGAGAAATTGAACCTGTTAAGAACGAGTATCAGGCCATGTCAAGCACAACTGAATGAAAAACTCTTGTGCAAAATGAATTGTACTGTAGATTCAAAGTAAATTTGTACATTTTAGTTGAAAACCCGTTTCGAGAAGATTGTCACACTCACGACACAATGCCAAGGTGAAAGAAACCTCAAATATGGATAAAGAAAGGCTCTTTGATCCAAAGTCCAACTCAAGCATTAAAGAATAAAACCTTTCAGGCACTAGACCTGTCAGCGCAAATGCTGATTGACCTTATAATGAAATTAAATGCAATTCATATTGTACTTCCCAAGGTCCAAATACCTAAAGCATTTCAGAGATACAACATTATCAGAAAAATAGAGGATAAACACTATTGTACTGATCTGCAGAGCACTCCTTTCTCAAGTTCCAAAACTGTCCAACAGCGCTCGGTTTTTATAATCCCAGGTGGCCACCGTCAGCCCGCTGCCAGACTTTCATCTCTGCTCGAGGCTGCCACATCAGAAGCTATCCGTGGCATTTAGTTGTAGAGCGCATGAAATAAAACATTTAATCATGTACACACACATTCACAAATAATCAGAGGTAGACAATTTTATGGCACTGTTTGTCATTTTAATGAATGAATGTATTTAAATAGGAATCCAATGAAAATTTATAAAGAACTAGACATTTCTTTAGGCCACACACAAGTTTGGAATCAACAACCCTCCTACATCCACCCTCAGTTTTTATGGTCCAGTTTTCACTTTCCTTCCTGCCTGCTCACAGACAAACTGTGAGCGAGCCAAGTTGGCTGTTTTATAGTTTGTATCATAAACCCCGCACTGGGTCAAGCTTTGGTAGCTTTGCTGCAAACTGTTTTTGGTTGTCAGTGATGGACCTATGGGGGATGAGGGCCAGTTTATAGTAAATATCAAAGGCTTCAATAAAGATCAAGGCCACAAGCTTAAAGCTCTTAAACAAGGTTGTTAACTGCTTAAAAAGGATATCTTTACTAGCAAAAAATAATTTAAAACACAACCCAACATACACTTGTGTTTCATAATAGGGAGTGTTATTCAATGCAAAGCCAATAAAGTCCCAAGCACAATGGGAAAATAAGGTCTGAGTTGAAAGTGAACATAGTTATGCTTTCCACTTTAAATGAAGCATGATCTTGTCTGTGAGAGCCCTGCTCAACACACACACAACAACGGAAAGGCAGGAATGCTTTCAGGTCATTCAGTTCGTTTTTTTCTCTGGGTTTCTCAAGGGGTTGGAGAAAGGAATCACTGCCTCTCTCATCTGAACCCAGAAAGTCATTGTACACTGTGAAAAGTGCCTTCTCCTTGAACAAAAAAAAAGTCCAACTCCACCTAAAACAAAGATGTTGTCGTTAGATTTAAATCTCTGGGAATTGTCCAAATGAATGCCAGCAGAGACAACTACTTTCAATTTGATAGCACAAAGAAACCTGTAATTACCCACATTGGGGCTTATTTTTCTCTAAATAACTAAATGACTAAATCATATTTTAATTTAAAATTATATAAAAAGAAAAACAGCAAGTCCTCACACTGAAGAAGTTGGAACCAGAGAGTATTTGGCAGCTTGGCTTGATAAATTACCTTCTGTAAATTACTGTATTTACTGCTGATAAAAATAGATGACTGTTTCAGCGATACCCACATACTGTAACAATTTCAAAGAAACAGGTTTGTAAAGAAAGTGTAGCAATAGCTAACTTTGGTCCCATACTGGAGCACCAGTCACAAGGGTGTCTCTCTCTTGTATAAGGCTGCACTGGTGGGACCCTCAAACTGCAGTTTGATGGCCTGTTTCAGATTAAGCTGCGGGTCTGTAGTTGTCATAACTTCTTCTTGCAAGGCACTACAAGGTGGGACTGGGGTAAAACTGTAACAAGCAGGTGACATAATCTTCTTCTGGGGAAGAGAGTCCCAAGCCTCCCCTTGAAGTGGGCTCTGTAGCCTATATGGGTAGCCCAGAGGAGGACTCTCTCTGTTTTTAGCACCTGTTGCAGGACTGTCTTGCCCTGGCATTATCCCAAGGGAAGCCATGACTGAGTGCCATTTACCACCAGCGTAAGTAGTCCTGTCTGCCTTTATTAAGTTTGAGTTTTGTTTGTTAATTTTGTCGTGATATTCAAGTCCAGTCGACAAGCCTTTCTGAGTCAGTTCGCAGTTGTGCACCATAGCGGTGACTGTGCAAACACTGGGGGGAGGGCTGCCTTTGGGATGCCTCTGGCTGCTTCCATGGAGGCTGCCCAAGCCTGAGCTTCCTGGTGGGGGGAGGGTGGAGGGGCGGCTACGACTGCGAGGCAGTGAGTGCTGTTGGATCTGCTGAATAAAGCTGAGGCTGTCAGCTGGCACTGTCTGCACCGTGGCCAGCGAGTGGCACGTAGATGAAGTTTGAGAGCTCTGTATGGAGTGGAATCGATCTGCAGTGGAGCCAGGAGAAGATACTGAAGAGGAGCAGGTAGCAACTGTGACTCCACCACCCTTACTCTCTGAGATGCCTGATGAGACGATCTTGTTGGCTTTTACAGGGGAGAAAGTACCATTTGAGTTTGTCAACAGGCCTACATATGGCTTGGCTCCATAGCTCTCTAAGAGTCTGACAATGTTAAAGTGCCCATGTTTCCCAGCCACCTTGACTGGACTACGGCCATATTTATCCATGTGATTGGGATTTGCACCTCTTTCCAGAAGCATTGCAACAATATTAGCATGTCCCTCCTGGGTAGCGATGCTCAGAGCTGTTGCCCCCTGGTAGCAAGCAAGGTCTATATTGACACCACTGGCTTCTAGGAGATGACGTCCGACTTCAGCATGTCCTGTCCAAGCCATTGAATGCATTGGTGGTCTCCCCTCTGTATCCTGTGCATTGGGGTTTGCACCATGTTTTAAAAGTAGGTCTACCATCTCCACACATCCCTGCCAAGAAGCAACATGAAGCGCTGTACGGCCCTCAGAATCTCTAGACTCCAGGGGCACCCCTCCTTTCTCTAGGAGAAGTGTAGCCATTTCAAGGCGACCCTCCAACACCAGCAGGTAGAGAAGAGGCCTACCCTCTGCATCCCGAACATCGGTATCAGCACCTCGCCTCATAAGCAGCTCTGCAACCTCAGCATGGCCCTCCAGGAGGGCAGCACTCAGGGCAGAATGTCCATCATATGCCCTGTTGTCAATGGGAGAACGTCGGTCCAACAACAGCCTGACAGTGCTCCAGTGACCTTCCTGGGCAGCCAGTATAAGAGGGGTGCGTCCTTCAATGTCCATCTCTCCGACACGTGCCATGCTGCCTCGCTCCGTCAAAGCAGCGCACACAGCTCGATGACCTTCACAGGCAGCCGCGTGCAGTGGAGTCCAGCCAAGGTCATCCTTATGGTTCTCATCCAGGCCTCGGTCCAGCAGGGCGCGGACAACTTCAACGCTGCCTCTTGCAGCTGCCAGGCAGAGTGCCGTCCTACCTTCACAATCAATGGCGTCCACAGCTGCTCCCCAGAAAAGCAGCCGTGACACTGTCTTCATGTGTCCCATTGCTGCAGCCGCCAGCAAGGAAGTAACAGCAGCTGCAGCAGAGATGTTGCCATCAGGGCCAGCAGTCTCATCTACATCAGCACCAGCTTCTAACAGAAGCTCCACTACGTCATCATTGCCCTCATAGGCAGCAAGAAGCAATGGTGTCATTCCATCATGGTCTCTGTGTCCTGGATCTGCTCCACGCTCCAGTAGCAGACTTGCTACCTCACCAAAACCTTTGACCCCAGCTGCTGTAGGCACGCAGAGGGCAGCGACTGACAGAGCAGTGCGCCCATCTCCATCAGCCAGGTTAACTTGAGCAGTGTGGTCCAGCAGTATTTCCACAGCTTCATGATGTCCCATATAGGCAGCAGCGATAAGAGGCGTGCGGCCCTTGCTGTCAGCTTTGTCAACCTGTGCCCCATAGTCCAGCAGTGTCAAAACAATTTCTTCATGACCCCCCCACGCAGCAGCTCTAAGGGCAGTCCGGCCATCGCTGTCGCATCCATCCACATCTGCTCCTGCATCCAGCAGAAGCCGGACAGCCTCGCTGTGTCCTCCCCAAGCCGCAGAGCGGAGTGCTGTCCAGCCTTCATTGTCAACATGCTCCATCATCCGTACTGCAGTTTCTGGCTCCTGGCTCTTGGCCCATTCCAGAAGTGCAGACAACACTTTGACATTACCCTGCCTGGAAGCCAAAGTCAGTGGCGTTTGACCCTGATGATCACTATCCAGTAGATCAGATCCGTTTGTCAGGAGAAGCTCAGCTATATTTGCTGAACCCTCGTGGGTTGCACTGGCAGGCAAGGTCTGTCTATCTGTAGAAGTCGGCTCGTTTACAGGCACCCCGCTGTCTAGCAGCTTCTTTACAGGCACCTCCCTTTCAAATGCCTGTCCATCTTTGCCTACACAACGCAGTCCAACACTTGGGTCTGAATCTGAAAAAAAGGAAGCAGAAACAAGTCCACTCCTCATTAACAGCTGAAGGACTTGCTGACTGACCAGAACAGGAGGCTGGGTTAAGGACGCGATGAGGGCACTACTGCCGCTAGCAGTAAAAGCAGGCACACCTATCCACAGCATCCACAGTGCCAATAATGAGGGGTTATCTTTATGGTGACCTGAGCAAACTAAATGTGTGGCTAGCTGGCAAGTGTTGTCAATGTCCAGGTTGGGTCCCTGCAAAGACAGGGCCATGGCAAGCATGCTGTGACCTTCTGTTCTGCTACACAGGTACTTCTGTGTGCAATATTTAACATCTGTCAACCACTCAGCAAAGCTGGCATGGAAAAGTAGTTTTGTGCTCCCAGGGCCATTGATCAGGAGAGGAGAGAGGGTTCGGAGCTTGTTCTGGAAGTCCTGGAAGCTGAGCAAGTTGTCATGTGTCCAGGCTGCTGTGAACAGCTGCTGGGGTGTAAGTGGCCTTGGGGCAGCCAAAAGGACATTCAGGAGAGGCCTGACATAGACAAAGAGGCCCCGGGGGAACAGTCTTTGGCACAACCACAGGTAGAGGCCATTGAGCGTCCCAGGGATGTCCCGGATCTCCCTGAGACCCACTAGTGCACCTGCCACGCCATCCAGCACACGCTCAAGAAAGAGCAAGCACCCGCCACTCTTAATGTGCAGGAGATTCAGCATGTCAGCTGTATCAGGGGTGAGCTGACGGCGAAGGGCTGCTTCTTCATCCAGCCGGCAGAGGATGTACTGTTGCACATCGCGGACCGGTGGGGGCTTCCGCAGATCATCCAGGCAGAGCCTACGAAATCCTACAACACAGAAAGAGATTGTGCTGTTTTTTAAACCCAATACAGTTTTGCATATTTGGCATAGACTTTATGATTCCCATGTTTTGGTTATTTTCTCTCCATGTCTCACACTGATTATCAACATCTGGTACTGTGATAACTTGGTTAAATAACCAAAATAAGACAGAAAACGGATGGCCCAAAGAATGCTTAAACCACTGGGATCCACTGATGTAATAGCACTGAAGTTTCTCGTCTGCAATTTGCCTCCTCTTTTCTCTTCCTGCTTTGTCTGACTTGTCCATCCAATACTTTATCTCTATTAATAACCATCTACTGCTATTTTCTTGTTCTGTTGTTCTCTTTTGACACAACAGCATGTTGTTCTAGTGTTGTTGACACATACACATCTAGTATTCTTCCCTTGGAATGTATTACATTGCACAGTGTTCATTATAGATAAGACGGATTAAATAGGATAAGGGGAGATACATACTGTACTGTATAATTAGGTCATTCACTGCTATTAAACAACACCTCCCTCCTTCAATTTTAATTTGTTAGTAAAATGAAGCTGGAGTGTAAAACCAGAGCACTCAACCTAATACAAGCTTTCAACAAGAGTTACAGTCAGAAATCCTTTTTGCTATAGTTACATAACAACATGTATGCTAATACCTCTTATTAAGACCATTACATCCACTAATAACAGAAAAGTTACTTAGTCATTGGCAAAGTAAAAACTAAGGATATCCGACCAAAATGCAGACATCATGATTCATGATTAAGGGGATGATGGACAACCAGTTCCTAGATTACCTGTAAAATCACCAACTTTACTGCAAAAAATAATAATAATAAAAAACTACTAAACTGAGTTGTTTTCATCTCAAAAAACAAAATCTGTCTGGTCCCACACACACTCAAATTTACAACAGCAAAATATCTTAATGTCAAATGTCCAATAAGATGAGTTATTCTTTCTTCATACCTGAGAACATCTTGCACACAGCCTTGTTGTGGCGGCGGACGGAGCAGATCAACAGCAGCCAGCTGGGCAGAAGGTGTTGATTGGCAGCCAGGAGCTCTGCGATGGAGCCACTCTTCCCACTTCCTTCACCTGCCCCATATTCTATATCCAGGGAGTCCACCACCACTATCAGAGTTTGGGCAGGAGGAGGAAGGTCCAGCAGGGGTCCCAACACTGCTCTAAGGACACGTGAAAAAGAGACAGACACACAAAGGAAGAGATTAAATTTAAAACAGCCGTGTAGAAAAGAAGATGTTGTGGGCAGCTGAGTGTGTTGAACAGTGTGAGCATTTTCTGTTGTATTGACTGCACTGTAATTACATCACAGATAAACACAGCAGGTCAAACTCTTTTGAATATAAATCAGTGACACTAGATTAAATCAATGACTTGAGGCAATTCCAGCTTCAGAATGAAATGAATAAAAATAATTTTGTTGAGTTTGAGCGAGTGCTTTTGTTTTCCATTTAACTTGTTTTAGAAACAATCTTACCGTACCCTCAGGCTTTTAGACACACTGTCAGTTCATGTTTACTTGAAAGGAGTTTCATCAATACGTAAAATATGTTCTATTGCAAAATAGAACTAACTATTTTTTAATGTGGTCTTTTTATGAAAAGTTAAAGCAACCTTCTAAAAATCAATAAGATTTATGCTGATGATGCTAAACGATGTCAGTATCTATTATATGCTCAGTCAGTAATCCAATAACTATGGCTTCTTTTAGGTTAAACACAAGTCTTGCAGTGCTTGGCTTTGTTAGGACAGTGTGAACACGGATTTCTATAATAAGTGTGATTACTATACAGTACAAAACTAAAAGCTGACATTAGCAGGCAATATAGCCCAAATCTGGCACCCCCGTCTTTCCTCAGAACACTGTGTAATATTAAGACAGCATTTACCTTGAACCTTTAACATTGAAATAAACTTGCAATTAGGGAACAAACATACACTGTGTTATGACATATTATTTATTAAATAGTATTATTATTATACATACGACATATTGGTACAAAATACAGACATGACATCAAGACTTTTTGCTGACCTTAATATTGCCTGTTATGTCTGCAAAAATGTAGGTTTTCCATACCATTATAAGACTGCCCCTAAGTGTTTATTTCACAGCACTACAAAACAACTATGCTGAGACACATTTTTCTGTCCTTTCTGGTTGTGCTGGTGGCCTTCTTTGCCAAAGAAAACCAACAAACTGCCAGTCCAACCTTGTAAAACAAAAGGGAAAGATCGCATTCTGGAGAAAAGAAGTCTTCTTATACTCTTCCACTACAGATATGTGGTCAAGTTCAAATACATTACATTATTATGATATTATATCAGTGGTAAAAATGGTCTTTAAATGACAATAATGTTGTTTATTGCAATTATTTCTGGGACAATATATCCTCCAACAAAAGTAGTTATCTTGACAGGCCTATATCTTCCACTGGAATATAATGTTGAACAGTAAAACAACACTAAACTAAAAACCTAAATCACAGTGTAACTGTTCTTTAAAGAGCACAGTCAGCAAACACACCCTGCTGTGATCTGAAGGTGATTCAGGTTAATGGAACTTCTGAAATGTCCTGCTCCACCCAGGGCATGCTCACACACACACACACACACACACACGGGCTGATGTGTGCAGACAGGTTACACACATACACACAATCCTAACATACCTAAGCATACCTGTACATCTCTCCTTTCACTGACTATATTCATTTCCTGACCCTTAAAACATCTCACTGTAAAATGCCTGAGCTCTGATTCCAATTTATATTTATTCTCCTTTACTCCTGACCACAAAAGCGATAATAGTAATAGTAATAATTGTGTTTTCAGCATAATTCCTTCATGCAGAGGTGCAACCTAACGCAGTTTAAATCTGTAGGCGAACTATCCAAATAGTGTTAAAAACAATATGTTTTAATAAATAAAAATGCTTGTACATAATGCATCATATAGAGCAGAACAAATGTCCTACACGAGGACCTGAGCCCAGCGTGGGAGCATAGATAACAAAGGTTTCTTGACCCCGATAAACCTCCAGGCTCTTATTCCTGAATCTAGACCTGAGGCAAGTTTATCTGAGGAGAGTGAAATCCTGCAGTCAACACAAGGTTCAGAGCTGCTGGAGCATGAAAACTTCATAACGAAAGTGCAAGTTGTATGAGGGAAGCTGGGGTTCTTGAGAGCAAAGTTGATGCTACCAGATGGTTACTGTAGCTGCAGTGAAAATATGCCTGAGCCAAAGACAAAAACTTTCTGAAACCTATAATGTATGGTAAGTAATTCCAGTTATTATAGAAATCCATGTTCACACTGTCCTAACAAAGCCAAGCAGTGCCAGACCCGTGTTTAACCTAGAAGAGAGGGTTGAAAAGCTGTTGTTATTGGATTGCTGATAATGGATGAGGACGACATCTTTTAGCATGGTCAACATAAATCCTATAGATTTTTAGAACGTTGCTGTAAAAAGCCCTTCCAGCTCAAAAATATGTGATTAAATTGAAAGTGGAAAGTTTCTCTGTGCTCATTAAAAATCTGATTTTAAGGATCGGGGCCTACGAGAATGATTTGTGACATCACAAATAATTTGGAAGTCAAACCTGGCTCAATTTGTAACTTCTACAAGTGTGATGTAGAACTTGAAGCCTCCAGTGCACATACAGTGAGAATTGACTTTACAGTAAAGTAGGAAAACTTTAGAAATGAACAAAAATTGCATATTCATAGATTATGGATTGTTTAATGAGGTAGAAGGAGAAGATGCCGTGTTAAGGATCTTAATTTGGAAATTATACTTTATAGCTATAGACTCTTTGGACTTGTTTCTGTTTCTGATTAAATTTTCCAAACTTGTTTAGGTCAGACAGACTGCTAGTATGCAAAACACATAGTTAAAAGCAAGTATATCTCCAGC